TACCCAAGGCCCAGTATGAGTTTCCGAGAAATCAAACGATGGCTGTTTGAAATTCTCCCAAAATTATCATCAGGCCATTTTTATTGTTGTGCTCTGAACCATCATTGCTATTAATAATAGACTACAATGGACCATTACTGTTTCCTGTTCTTTTTTGCCACATTTGAGTGTTTCTTTCTGCATGATTAACCTTGGTAAACAATGTACATCAAATACCAAGGGAGAAAATCTTTAAAGCATTAAATTCAGATCAATACCAAAATAACTAAAGTTATGGGTGGATTCTTCCACTTTGTACTGAACACTTCACTTGCTCGCTTTCCTGAGCACTGCAAGCAATATCGCACAATAGAAATGACTTTGGATCATGAGAGAATGGGCAGCATTTCATGGAATCATGCATTATGCAGCACTAATGCAAGTTTTATGTGGTCGTTACGCATGAAGGCCCATGTGAGCCTCAGTGCAGTAATGACTCTGGCTGAGATGGACAGTAAGATGATACGGTCACCCTAGCCTTCAAATGCCTCATTTGGTGAGCCATACTGTACATACAAGCAATTACATCTTACATCTGTACTGTTAGAATACTGTTTTATAAGGATCATCAAGTGACCAGCCACAGTAAGCTGATGCAAGCATGAATGTTTAAAGTTCAAATTACAAGCATGACTTCACTGTAGTGAGTATTGAAGGCAAAATTGGTGATATTTAAAAAATCGAGGCAATGATGCACATTTAGAACATTAATACGTTGTGCACTTATTGGTCTATCTCAAAATGTAGTGAATTGCCTACAGAGCATTTATAAGCATCATAATCTGAAGTGTTACCTAGAAATAAAACCCTTTAAAATTACAATGAAGACCAAAGTTTTATTGTTTTATGCTTTACATAAAAAGCATAAAACACAGAAAACAATCATAACATCATATCATCCAATCATGTGCACTCCTGACTCAAACACTATTCTAAATCATAATTATGCTGCCTTTTAAGATAATTAAGAATCTTAGATTGATCTTCGATTGTGGAAAAATATCAAATATTGACAAATGACCTTTCATTCAATTCCAAAAAGTTTCAATGAAAATAGTTTAATGTAATTAAAAATGATTAAATTTAAATGCTAATTTGAAACTGAAATAAGCTGAAGTTGAAGTGGAAGTACTAACATTAGAAAACCTAAGTTAAATATAATTTAAAAAAATCACAATAATAAAATGACTAAAACTTAAAACTAAAATAATAATGAAAACTAAAAATGAAAAAATAAAAGCTAATTCAAAACATTAATAAATATTATAATTGCATATAAATGATATTAAAATAACACTGGTGTAGAGTTGCTGCCTATGTAGATCGCTGCAAATCGCCCACAGGTTCCCTTAAAAGTCAACTGCCAATCTAGGCAGCTCACTAAGTTTTGAAAAAGACCTTCCTGTTTTACAGACAAGGCTTAAGCCTAGTCCCAGACTAAAATGCATGCTTAGTCTAAGCCCTGTCTGTGAAATTGGGCCCTTATGTCTGGTGCATAAAGTACACGGATGCATTAGACCAAATAACGCAGCAATCAGCAAAAGCCTGCTGGCACTGGCAGAGAAGGTCTGTGCAATATTAGACATAATAAATGAAGCAGCATACCCATAGAAAACCTCAGACAAGCTGTCAAGCGTTTACCAGCTTGACATTTAGCGGCATTCACTGTGACAAATGGCTTACACTTTAAATCTTTGAGAGAGGTGTTTCTAACCACACTAGTAGGGCTCTGTAGATGCGGCTGTTATCTGGGACCTTGCCATAGTAATGCCAGGTTTGATTTATGACAAATGTATAATTCAAATACAAGTGTATAATGCCTATGGGAGGGAGTACACTAGGGAAGGGAAGCTTCATGAAGGCCCTGTTAATACCTTTACCCAAAGATGAAAATTCTGTCATCATCTTGTAACCAAAATGTTGACAGTAGCCATTGACTTCCAAAAAATACTATGGAAGTCAATGGCTACCGTCGACTGTTTCATTACCAACATTCTTCAAAATATCTTATTTTATGTTCCACAGAAGAAATAAAGCCATACAGATTTAGAATGACATGAGAGTAAGTAAATTATGACAGAATTTTCATTTTTGGTTGACTATCCCTTTAAAAATACAGTGCAAAATGTGACATTTTCTAGAAGCTGTATTACTGTATAATATGTTTCACTTTATTTTTAAGCCATAGATTACAAACAAAGGCTAATGTGCATTTTGGCACAATGATTAGGTGGTAGGTACTCCTTTACTGGATGAATCAGAAACCATTAGAGTTTACACTGCAAATGTGAACATTTTGGACCCTGTTTATACCTGTATTCAGCACTGACCACTCATGATCTGATCATCTGAGACGGATGTTAATACCAGATGTTAACAGTCTGGGGAAATATCCAGGAAACTGCACTGAAACATAGAGGCATGACACAAAACAGGACAGTGTGTGTGTTTATACGTACTGTAAGTATGTGTGTGTTACTGGGGCAGGTGAGGAACACAAGGAGTGTGTGACTGTAAGAGCCATTTTATTTTGAAGAGGATTATATGCAGCTTCATATTTGAGTAATCGCCCACAGGTTCCCTTAAAAGTCAACTGCCAATCTAGGCAGCTCACTAAGTTTTGAAAAAGACCTTCCTGTTTTACAGACAAGGCTTAAGCCTAGTCCCAGACTAAAATTTAATTCTGAGCTGTTTCAACTGAAAGAAACTTGCACTGACTGATCTTAAAATATATCAGTGCCTTTGTTTTGTCTCAAGATGCACACCAGTAATGTTTTTTCTAAGGCATGTTAATAAAATTTACTTAAATGTCCTAATTGAACTATGGCCTAATCCTGGCTTAGTCTAAGCCCTGTCTGTGAAATTGGGCCCTTATGTCTGGTGCATAAAGTACACGGATGCATTAGACCAAATAACGCAGCAATCAGCAAAAGCCTGCTGGCACTGGCAGAGAAGGTCTGTGCAATATTAGACATAATAAATGAAGCAGCATACCCATAGAAAACCTCAGACAAGCTGTCAAGCGTTTACCAGCTTGACATTTAGCGGCATTCACTGTGACAAATGGCTTACACTTTAAATCTTTGAGAGAGGTGTTTCTAACCACACTAGTAGGGCTCTGTAGATGCGGCTGTTATCTGGGACCTTGCCATAGTAATGCCAGGTTTGATTTATGACAAATGTATAATTCAAATACAAGTGTATAATGCCTATGGGAGGGAGTACACTAGGGAAGGGAAGCTTCATGAAGGCCCTGTTAATACCTTTACCCAAAGATGAAAATTCTGTCATCATCTTGTAACCAAAATGTTGACAGTAGCCATTGACTTCCAAAAAATACTATGGAAGTCAATGGCTACCGTCGACTGTTTCATTACCAACATTCTTCAAAATATCTTATTTTATGTTCCACAGAAGAAATAAAGCCATACAGATTTAGAATGACATGAGAGTAAGTAAATTATGACAGAATTTTCATTTTTGGTTGACTATCCCTTTAAAAATACAGTGCAAAATGTGACATTTTCTAGAAGCTGTATTACTGTATAATATGTTTCACTTTATTTTTAAGCCATAGATTACAAACAAAGGCTAATGTGCATTTTGGCACAATGATTAGGTGGTAGGTACTCCTTTACTGGATGAATCAGAAACCATTAGAGTTTACACTGCAAATGTGAACATTTTGGACCCTGTTTATACCTGTATTCAGCACTGACCACTCATGATCTGATCATCTGAGACGGATGTTAATACCAGATGTTAACAGTCTGGGGAAATATCCAGGAAACTGCACTGAAACATAGAGGCATGACACAAAACAGGACAGTGTGTGTGTTTATACGTACTGTAAGTATGTGTGTGTTACTGGGGCAGGTGAGGAACACAAGGAGTGTGTGACTGTAAGAGCCATATTATTTTGAAGAGGATTATATGCGGCTTCATATTTGAGTCCCCTATAGGAACAACACAAAGACGTGAAATTCAAGACACTCTGCACCACATATACGCAAGAAATAACATATTTGTCAGTACATACTGAGAAATACAAAACTCTAAAGTCAAGTCCTGATGCACGCTATACACTCAGGAGAGGAACAACCTAAAACTGAACTGAAATGAAGCTGAAATGAAATAAAATACAAATATTAGATGAATAAATGTAAATTTAAATGAAAATTTGAAACTGAAATAAGTTTAATTCTGAGTACTAAAATTGCCAAAAAAAAAAAAAAAAGATATATTTACTTGACAA